TGAATTTGTGTTTGTGGGTATTCTTGCAAGACAATTCTGAGTACAATTCCTGGACGTTTTCAAAATGCACCAAGAATTTATAAACTCAAATCAATGTGCGGTTCAAAAGGTCACATTATTATTATTATTTTTTAGAGAGCCAAATTGATTGTGAATTGTCTCCCAAACTGGCATGTTGAATGATTATGGCATTTTCATATTTTGGCATAAAACCTTACAAAATATGGTTTTGCAATTAGACTTTTTAAAAAACAAAAACAAAAACTGCCTTTCCCACCTGGGTAGGATTTAAGCAAAACCCAGGCAGTTTGGGGCTATTTTTAGTCCTGATTAATTATTAGGCCAAGATAATACCAAGTTCAGCAGCTTATTGGGAGGAGACACGACAGCTGGGCTCTCAGGAGAGCCCCAGGTCAGAGCCAACATCTTTACAACAAAATGGTCGGTGTTTTCCCCACCTCCGGGGAGCGCGCAGGGCGGCACCTTCTGTGACAAGGGTGTCGCCTAGCCAGCCTGGAGCCAGCGAGTGAGAAGGAACTGCTGATTCAGGGGCCTGCAGACATGGTTGATCTCACCACAGTGAAAATAGGTCACTAATGACAGGTGGCGAAAAGCCAAAAAAACTGTGGCCAGAAGCTCTGAACCGTCTGCTGGTGGCAAGACCCATTTTACTAGAACTCCAGAAAGAAAGCGATCTGCTTGAATTTATTTAGAACAACTTCAGGCTTGCAACTCACATGCTCAGATTCTGATCTCTTCCCTGCTGGCCTTTATTTTTCTTTAACCATTCAAGTTGTTTATTGTTTCAGTTTACCCAGTTTCCATTCCCACGCACTGAAATAACTCTGCAGCTCCTGCTTCTTCTTTTTTCTTTTTTTTTTTTAAACAGTCCAGCTGATAGGATTCTTCTCCCCTCAACCATGTCCCCGCCCCCTCCCTCCATGCCCCAAGTGGCAGGGAGCAGAAGGGGGACAAGGCCAGGGTGACATAAACCTCTCTGATTCCTTATATGTTGACACTGAGATGGTTTTGATCAGCTTAGAAAATACCACACTGATCTTCATGAAGCCACCCATGTCTATGATTCCAGAAAGTATCTGGCATTATTATTCTACACTAATAAAAGTGAAATATGCAAACTGACCATCACTTCACACTGCCATCAGCCAATCAGGAGTGAGTATGCAATTAACCTCATCACCTCCATGGAGACTGACAGCAGGGAAGAGGCAGCTCCCAGCACGGCCTGCTTGGCTGTCCCATGGTGTGGAGAAGGCAGGCCCTGCAGAGAGCAGAGAACCATGGGGAGTGAGCCTAAGCCATCAGTGAGACATCCCCTGAGGATCCTGGATTGGAAGGGTGTAGGTCAGGCTGAGGGACACCACTCTCCCAACCTCCGTGCATGAAATTTGTGCACCAGTCCTCTAGTTGTGTGATAAAATAGTATATTACTTCATTTTGAACAGTGTGGCTCCAGATTGGCATTTCTTATCATTCTCAGTAGTTCTCTGAGAAGAGAAGGGGAATTGCGGAGAGGAAGGCTGGGAATTGCTAGCGGGTCCTCCTCACAGGCCTGGGGTATCTCGGTGTAGAGCTTAGACCAGAGATTCCCAAGTGAAAATGAACTTCTCTCACAGGGCCTGGTAAAACCCAGACTGCTGGGCTCCACCTCCGGAGTGGGTTTGTAAGAGGGCCCAACATGGCGCATTTCCAAGCAGTGCACAGGTAACTACATTCTGAGAAACAATGGCTTAGGCAGTCATCAGTGGCCTCAGTACTGTCCCCACAGAAGCATATTCCATGTCCCAGAGCTTCTTCCACTGGACTGTGAACAGCTGAAGGGCAGGGATGATGTCTCACTCATCTTTGAATCTCTAGACTCCAGCATAGTGCCTGACACTGAGAAATTATTCCTTAAATGGTTGTTGAATTAATTAGTTAATGACTGAATCCTATCAGCTGATCTTAAAACAGAAGCAGGTTTTTCTGAAGGCTTGGGATTACCTTAAATGGAATATTGGTCTCACTGAATGCAAATGATCTAATCACTGAAATGACTATTAAAAAACACATGAATAAGAAGAAGTTAGACAACATATTCTTCTCAGTCCTGCTCAGGTTGAACATGAAGAGTTGGGGTTTAGGGAGAGGCTGGGCAGAGGAAAGATGGGCCCATCACATTTGACAAGGTGTTTCACCCCTAATTTGTAGTAAGGGCCAGAACTCTTGCACAACTGGTAAGCAGGAGGCCTCGGGAGTTCCCCCTTTCTTCCATGCACTAAATCTCACAGGGGAGGGTAGGAAATGGTGCTTATAGCAGAGAAGGGTTTTCAGTGTGGTTTGTGTTCCCACACATACTGGGAACAAGTGTGTAGCTCCTGGAGATTAGCTCCCAGAACTCCCCACATTTAGATGGGAATCAAGGGGAAAGAGGGTTTAAGTCTGGTTTGGCCACAATCCCCATCCCCCGTGACCTTATTCTAGCTGCTGCAGCTTGTCCTCCCTCATGCCCTACCTCACAATTTGCCTCTATCAATACCATTATGCTGTATGTTTTCTAGCATAGAGCATGCTATCCTCCTGCTTCTAGATTCCAACCAGTCCAAGTCTGGGTAACTTGAACTTACTTATGACTTCACTTAGCAGCCACCTTTTACAGAAGTCACTTTAAGTGTCTTTCCTCAGTGTTTTCATAATACTCTATGGATACCTCTATCACTCCGTTATTTATTCATTCAATATTACCTACTAAGAGGTCCAGAGCATGACATTCATGCACTTGGGGGAGTCGCTCTCTCTGGCCTGTGCGTTCTCCCAGTACAAGAGCCCTTGGGGGATGTCTGACTGATGGCTTAGGCTGGCTTCCCATGTTGTTGGTCAGACATCTTTGGAGCTGCTGCAGATGAGGGAGAGGCTCCCACCACCGCCACCGCCTCTGTGCTCACCAGCTGTGAGCCTGGCTTATGGCTGAGCAGCGCTCATCTTGTGGGAGTGCACTGACCCCAAGGGGGCAGCTCCTGCATTGAGTGTCTGCCCCCTGGTGGTGAGTGTGTATCATAGAAACCAGTTCCACTATTTGGTTAATTTGCATATTAGCCTTTTATTATATAGGATTGAGTACCTGCTATGTGCTAGTCACTGGAGATACAAAGATGAATGTGACATGCCTCTTGCTTGTCCTTAAGCAGCTCATGGTCTATGAGAGAATACAAATATAGAACAAGTAACTATAATGCAAAGAGTGAGGTCCTAAGTAAGCATTAGGTGCTACAGAAGTACACAGAAAGGGCACTTAACCTTATCTTAAAGTATTAAGGAGGGTTTTCTAGATAAAGAAACATCCTAGTAAAGATCTAAATGGATGAGTAGTATTTAGCTAAAGAGATGGGAGAAAAGCATGCCAAGAGAGGAAAAGCATTTGCAAATCATATAGTCATATATCTGTATATGATTGGCTATAGACCGTGGATTTGGTTTTATTCTTTTGTCTAACCTCAACTCATAGCACAGTACCTGGCATACAGTAGGCATCCAAGGAAATACTATGAATGAGTGAATGAATGAATTAACCTCAAATGGCTGGGGAGGGTGGCAATAACCACAGAAGGTGAGGATTCTTAGAAAATGAATATTTGTTGGCTCAGTGGCTCTCTATTTTACTTTCTTGCTCACTCCTTCCTGTGTGTATATATCAATGGGTTAGCAGACATGAAAATTGCATGGGCTTAATCTTACCATTTGCAACAGCATGGATGGATCTAGATGGTGTTATGCTAAGTCGGTGGTCAGCAAACTGCGGCTCTCGAGCCACATGCGGCTTGCGAGCTGCGGTTTGCTGCTCTGTTGACTAATGAGTTTGCCAACCACTGTGCTAAGTAAAGAAAGTCAGACAGAGAAAGACAAATATCATATGATTTCACTTATATGTGGAATCTAAAGAACAAAATAAGCAAATAAACACACAGAAACAGACTCAAGCTGCAGAGAATGGACTGATGGTTGCCAGAGCGGAGGGGGTTGGGGAATGAAGAAGTACAAATGGGTAATTACAAAATAGTCATGGGGATGTGAAGTACAGCATAGGGAATATAGCCAATAATATTGTAATAATTATGTAAAAAGCTGCATGGGCTCAGTGTGCAGGTGCATTTTATGTCCTGGGTATGATTGTTGATACAGTTTCCATGTAACAGCTAAATGATCCAACCCAATGCTTTGAAAACAAATGTGCAGTTTCTCAAAAAAAGATTGATGTAAACAAGGTTAGCACTGATCATGCATTTTAACACTACTTGAAATCTAGAAATATCACAATGTGTTTTCAGAATCAGACCTCCTTATTTTTTCATGATTAGATAAATGCTGATTTTTATTGGCGGTGGTGCTAATGTAGTTGCCTCCCAAGGTGTGTTCTGCCATTAATGAAACAGCAAGGTGTGTCCACAGGCCCACACATTTGCCTACACACTGTCAGTGAGCTCTGAATTTCTAATCACCTTGGGAAAATGGGAAGTGATTAACTCAAAGCAACGAGGTGATTTACACTCGCTGAATGAATAATAATGATTGCAGTGCTCATGCCTAAGAAATGTGCAGAGGAGTTCATGCAAGAAGCAAAGAACACACCTGTGTTCTCACAAATTGCTTTAGTTCCAGAAGCCCTACCTTAAAGAGTTGGGGATTCAAAGGAGGCAAGAAGCAGCTAGTGGGAAAATTTGAACGACTTGGTTGGAGAGTCCATCCTCCTCAGAGCATTACTTTGTGGCTTGACACCTATCTGCAGACAAATGCTCAGCACAGGCTTACCATGCATGGCTCACCAGGGTTCTTTGCAACTATGGGTGTCTGTAGAACCATCTGCAGAACTTTGAAATATAGCTTTACCCCAAAAGTTTGGTTTAATTGGTGTGGGATAGAACCCAGGCATCGGTATTAATTTGAAGTTCTAGGTGATTCTATTTAAAAGCCAGGATTGTGACTAATTGAGCTAGGATAGTGATTTTTAACTGGTGTGCTGCAAGAAGTTTTAAAACATGCAATACCTGCCTATTTAGTCAGGGGTACTGACCTCTCTTCCCTTAGATTGTCAAATAAAAATTGACAATAGCCAACATAACAATAACTGTCTGGTGTGAATAAGTCAAAATTGTACTTCTTTTGGTCAGTCTGGCAAAAAAATGTATTGATATATTTTGTTGTGCTGCAGAATTTTAGTAATCAGCTTATCTGTGCCATGAGATGAAAAGGTTAAAAATCACTGATCTAGTACCAGCAAACCGTGAGCCACATGTGGCTCTTTGGCCCCTTGAGTGTGGCTCTTCCACAAAATACCACATGCGGGCGCACACGTACAGTGCAATTGAAACTTCATGGCCCATGAGCAGAAGTCGGTTTTTGGCCTGGGCCAATCTATTTTGAAGAAGTGGTTCTAATGCCGAGCCACACTCAAGGGGCCGAAGAGCCGCTTGTTGCTCGAGAGCCACTGTTTGCCTAATCTTCTAGATCAGTAGATTAGGAGGGCCTCACGCCAGCTTGGGAGTGGCTCCTTGATTTCAAGTTGTTCTTTTCCAGGATCTCTCGGGGACAGGGACATGGAAGGGAGAAAAAGCAATGAGGAGCAATTAAGAGTTTGGTATGATCCTTTAAAACTCCAGGTTGGAGAAGCTTTAGGAAACGTGGGTTATGTGCCCTGAGATTAGTATTTTTAGCCTCAGAATCAGAAGGAGGTTTAGAAATGAAGAGTCATGATGGGACAATGGTTTTCAAGGAAGATACTTCTAGGAAGTCTTGGAAAGTGTTTGGCAAGAAACTCACTGATCAGTGAAATCAGAGGGAAATGGAAGATAAGTACTGGGCCAGGGGAGTGGGAACTGGGAAACCAGATATCAGGGAATTAACTGTTATAGTACCTACCTCAAAAACAATGGAGTATGGATGGTAATGTAACTTTTAAGATTTTTGTTTAGATAACTAAATATATTTTCAAAATTTATTATTTTAAGCATCACCAAAACTGTGAGGGTGAAATTTGTAAGCAGAACACCCCACCAGAGGTCTGCCCCCTAGTTACAGATTCCCAGGAGGTGTAAAGCTCTTTGCCATGCATATATTCCATCCAAAGCTCTTCAAGGCTCTCAGATCATACTAGAGTGCTCTTGGGGGTAAGTGTCATTGAGGAGAACATTCTAGCAACCATTTTAACTCTACACCATTAAGTAGTTCTAGTTTGTGCCAGTCTCGATGCCCAGTTCAAATTCACATAAAGAAAACCTGGGTCTAGTCCAGCCAGAGGTCCTGGGTTTCTTTCCTTGACCACACAACTGATTCTGAGCTTCCCTTTGGCTCCTTCCTGTTGGAGCAGTTACATTTACTAAGCCACAGAGCTGAGAGCCACAATTGGTTCCATCTTGGAAAGTCCCGAGCTCCCTGGAATAAAAGATGCTGTACCCTATAAACTCTGGAATCCTAGGACTCTGCCCCCTTCAAGAGACTCAGCATCTTGCAGGTGAAGCTGCAAGACAGAACATCAGTCCTGCAAATAGAATAAACCAAGATCACCACCCACTACTGCCTTGACACATCTGGCTTGGCATTGGTGAGCTCATATCTGGATAGAAACTTGACTGCACAGTCCCGTGGCTGCTGGAACTCCTGAAGGCTGGCTAGAGAGTCTATACTATCCCCCCTTCCCCAACAGAAGGTAGTGTCTGCCTTCAGGCCCAAACTAACTTCAGACACCAGGTACCCAAGGCTTTTTACCAGCCTCTCCCCTGCACATCTGGCCCCTTCCATTTTTCATTCTTTTTTTTTTTTTTAATATATTTTATTGATTTTTTACAGAGAGGAAGGGAGAGAGCTAGAGAGCTAGAAACATCAATGAGAGAGAAACATCGACCAGCTGCCTCTTGCACACCCCCTACCGGGGATGTGCCCGCAACCAATGTACATGCCCTTGACCGGAATCGAACCTGGGACCTTTCAGTCCGCAGTCCGACGCTCTACCACTGAGCCAAACCGGCTTCGGCCCATTTTTCATTTTTGAGGTGTGTTCTGGCGATGATTGAAGGCGCATCCTTCTGACTCTCTCCCAGCCCCTCCTTCCCTCCACCAGTACTGGAGCTTCCTGGAATAGCTTTGGCTGGCAGTAACTTGTAGCTTTAGCAATGAGTAACCTGCATCTCCAATTGGTGGGTCTAATGCATGAATCTCATTTTCAAAACTTTTACATACAGAAAAGTTGGCATACGAATTTTCAAAGGCTCAATATTCCTGGGTTACCAGCACCCAGATCAAAAAGCATAATATTCTTAGAAGCACCAATAATGTTTCTTTCTGGTCACTCTAGACTTCCAGCAGCATGGATTAGTTTTACCTGTTTATAATCTTATTAGAGGCCCAGTGCACAAATTTGTGCATGGGTGGGGTCCCTCGGCCAGCCTGGCTGGTGATTGAGGCCTGGGGCAGGGGTCACTGGCTAGCATGGGAGAAGGGCTGTTGGAGGTTGACCGGCTGGCTCCCTCTCCCCTGACTGGGAACATGGTGGGGGGTGGCTAGCTGCGGGGAGGAACCAAGGGTGGTTGGCCAGCCATGGGAGGTTGGCTACGGGAGCACACTGACCATCAGGGGGCAGCTTCTGTGTTGAGTGTCACACTGACTGGTGGTCAGTGTGCATCACAATGACTGGTCTTTCTGGCCATTTGGTTGTAATGGTCGTTTAAGCTTTTATATATCATATATATATACTAGAGGCCTGGTGCATGAAATTTGTGCATGGAGGGAGGGCTGTCCCTCAGCCCAGCCTGCACCTTCTCCAATCTGGGACCCCTCAAGGGATGTCCTACTGCCTGTTAAGGCCAGATAACAATACAGGACTGCTAGCTCCAAACTGCTCGCCTGCCTGCCTTCCTGATTGCCCCTAACCACTCTGCCTGCCAGCCTGATCACCCCCTAACCACTCTGCTGCCAGCCTGATTGATGCCTAATTGCTCCCCTGCCATCCTGGTCACCCCTAACTGCCCTCCCCTGCAGGCTTAATTGCCCCCAACTGCACTCCCTTGCAGGTCTGGTCCCTCCCAACTGCCCTCCCCTGCTGGTCATCTTGTGGTGGCCATCTTGTGACTACATAGGGCCAGGATCTTTGACCACATGGGGGCAGGCATTTTGTGCGTTTGAGTGATGGTCAATCTGCATATTACTCTTTTATTAGAGCATGGGTGGGAGCCAGTTGGTTTGCCCTGAAGAGTGTCCTGGAATCAGGGTGGGGGTTCCCTTGAGGTGTGGGGTGGCTTGGGTGAGGGGCCTGCAGTGGTTTGTAGGCCGACCACACCCCCTGGCGACCCAAGCAGAGGCCCTGGTATCTGGATTTTATGTATCTTCTACAATTGAAACTTTGTAGCTTGGAGTGGAGCCAATCATCCTGCTTGCTCCATGGCTGCAGCCATTTCAGTTTGGATTTGTTTACCTTCTATAATTGAAACTTTGTACCCTTGAGTGGAGGCTTAGGCTGGCAAAGGCAGGAGGAAAGCTTGGCTTCCTCTGTTGCCTGGGAAACCCAAGCCTCCCTTTTGCTCTCTGTGGCTGCAGCCATCTTGGTTGGGTTTATTTGCATACTCGCTCTGATTGGCTGGTGGGTGTGGCTTGTGGGTGTAGCAGAGGTATGGTCAATTTGCATATTACTCTATTTTTAGATAGGATACAGTGAGTGGCCTGATTATTATGATCTCTGAATGCATAGTAATCTGGCCACTCAGTGTATATCCTATATAATAAAAGGCTAATATACAAATTGTCCCTTCAACCAGGAGTTCGACCAGCAGGCAGGCTGGCCAACTGCCTATGTCCTCTCCCCCTGGCCAGGCTGGCTGGACCCCACCCATTCATGAATTCATGCATCGAGCCTCTAATATGTAAATATATTGAGTGGCCAGATCATTATCAGATTATTATGCGTTCAGAGATAATAATTATCTGGCCACTCAGTGCAGATATAAAGAGAAGCATACACTACAACTCTTTTATGTCTGACTTTTTGCTCAACATTATATTAGTGCAATTCATCCATATCATTGCATAGGATTGTAGATTATGCATTTCATGTATCGTGTAGTATTTTATTAAGTGAACACTTCATATTTTCAAAAATCTATTTTACCATTTTTGGGGGGAACCTCCAGATTTTGGCCATTACAAATAGTAGTACTGTAAGTGCTCTGTTACCGGTATTCTGAGTGGACATATGTAGGCGTTTCTGTTGGATCTTTGTAGATGTTGACATAGGGATGCATTTGCTCTATGTTCCTGCCTCCACAACCTCATCAAACATTTTCTGTACATTCATTTTATCCATCCTGGTATATTACTGTGGTTTTAAATGACATTTCATTCTATGTCAGCCTCAGGTATGAAGTTAGGGCATCTAATGAAAGAAGTCACTGTAGACATATGCTTGTTTTCACTTTAAAGAGATGCAGCCTTTCACCCAACTTTGAAACGACTTGTTTAAAGAGCCTAGCTTGAAAATCCAAAATTCTTCAGGCAGCTACATGCTAAAGGAACATTATCATTAACAGGCCTAGTCACATCTCAAAGGATCATGCAAATGACATTGTGTATAGGTACGCTCATTTGTTCGTTCACCGACAAACGGTTGAGACCTATCTACACCGGGCAATGCTCCAGATGTTGAGAACATATCAGAGGAGAAACAGAATATAGATTATCATGCAGGTCATATTCAAGGGTGGGGAGATAAACAATAAAAAAGTAAATAAAACAGCTTATCAGACAGTGGTTAGTGTTATGGAGAATAACAAGGCAAGAAAGTGTAAGGAGTGCTGGCACAGATTTAAATAGAATGTTCAGGGATGGCCTCACCAACAGTGACTCAAGAACAAGCAACGTGGGTGCTGGGGGATGAACATTCCTGGGAGATCAGCATGTGCAAATGCCCTGAGGTGGGAGCACATTTGAGGAGCAGCAAAGAGGCTGTTGGGAACAGGGAGAACAAGACATAATGGAGTGCAAAGAAGGAGCAGGTTTTGTTGGGCTAATATGCAAGTCTGAGTACCCTGACTTTTCCTCAGCTCTGAGGGAAATATCTTCAAAGCTGCTATGATCCCACCTCTCTGCAGTCTCGGTATCACATCCTC